TTAATAACTAATGGCCTACAGGCTACAATTGCAGTAAATTCTGTTGATATGAGTTGAGGACTGATAAAAATGGCCGCAATAACTCTGTTTTTGCCATATTAGGATGCTTTGTTATGAATTAAGGTAAGTTGTAACATAATCAACATTTTCTTTAATTTGCAGGCTGCCATATACTGGCTGAACTTAGAGGAGCATTAGTATAGAGACAACATGATGTCCAATTTAGAGGACATCAATCTCGGATTTAAGAAGAACTTGAAGCTAACCCTGAAGACTAATATGAGATTAATACAAGTACACATTGATGAACTGACTCTTCGTTCGAGGGATGTATGCTTTGTGTCGACTAAGTTATCTGTACGCATCTACATATGCGGCTTATGTTGTGTGTAAGGAAATAGCTATATGCCACTATGTAGTATCTGTTGTCTAATTTTAATGAATCTCGTGCTTTTACATTCAGTTTGGTTCATGACATGCATGACTGCACACTACTTGAGAAATTTTTTGTCTTGGCCTCTCAATCTCATGCTTAAAAATGCAATATGATATCAAAATGTGTGTAATTCCTGATATAAGTACTTCAAGTTTGGTCCTAATTCAGCAAGAAACTGTGAATTGTATGTGTAATGTGGCCCATGCAATTGATATATGGTGATACTTGGTGTTGTATTCACCTAAAGTATTTGCCGAACTTGGTGTGTGTTCAGCTGAGTCGTAAGAATTCGAAATGTTTAATCTCAAATCAATTTTAGATACCAACTCGAAACTAATTGTGAAGGGGCTTAAAATTTTTGCAGTCCGAAAAAGAAAAATAGGGAGAAAAAGTTGAGTTTTGATTAATGTAGAATATGAACTCAAAGCTTCAACTTAATTATGGATAATTGAAGTCTATGAAACAAAGAACATGACAAGAGGTGTTCCTCAATGTTGGACTAGTGTGCCACTAGTCAATCATCATTTGAAGTTTTTTAGGGTACCATTGCTTGGTGCAAGAAAACCTAAAGCCCCATCAGAGGTATTGTATGCTATTGCAATACAATTCAAGGGGGTGTCTTGTGAGTATTATAACACGAAGAGTGCTTGACAATGTTAAAACATGAATACATCATTGACATAAGTACATAAATATGAATTTTGATCCATCATAATTTGTCTTTAGACGTACGTATGCACAGATTTGTGCTTCCCATCAATTGTTCATTTGAATTGCAGTGACTGAGCATGAGACTCGGAGAATTTCAAACTGTTCCAAAAACCGAACCGAAATCACTACGAATCAAAAAATAATCGTTGATCGTTTGACTTTCTCCGAACTGAACTGAACTGAAAAAATAATTGGTACGGTTTTAGAGATTTCACAAATATCCGTACCGAGAACCGAACTGAACTGTCCCATACTGTATCGAACCGAAGAACCGAAATTAAGAACTAAATTATAATGTGTTATTTAATATTTTTTATATCAACTTTGATCTTATATAATTTGAGATTTTTTAAAATGCAAATAAAATACAGTACTAACAATGAAGCTTTACTTAAATTTCATGCTTAGTAATACTTGATTTACAATTGAATTTTTCCTGTTTCAAAAAATTTATTTAAAATGGTATGAAAAGTTAAAGAAAGATTTTTTTTTAAATATTTGAAACTCTACTTAGTTGTTGATTCTTTCTTAGTCTTATTCTATCTTATAATTAAAATGATATGAAAGGCTAGAGAAATATTTTTTTAAGAAAAAACTATATTAATTTTGTTTGAATTTTAAAATTTCAACGTTAGTTGTACAAATTTAGTCTTAAGTAAGATTTAGAGTTACTTCTAAAGTTGATTTCAAAATAAAATTATTAATATGATGAAGTATTGATGAATGTTGGATTTAAAAAAATATATATAAAATTAAAATATAACCAGGTAGTCATTAAAAAAATTAAAAATTAATTAAAAATCTCCAAAGATTCGAACCAAACCGAACCGTTCCGATAGTCCCGAATAACGAATCGAACCGAATCGAAAAATAAAAATCTCTGAACTGAACCTTACCAATTTGTTTGGTACAATTCCGGAGATCGAATTTTAGTGATATCCGAATTTCGGTACAGTTCGGAGATTGACATTTCGGTACGGTTCTGGAGATTTGTTAATCTTCGAACCGTACCGACCCATACTCACCCCAGTGACATAGATGAGGTGTCTGGGGGGTCGAATCATGTGCCAAAGGCGCGCATGGCTTCTTTTGACTTGATGGTTAGCTCTTCCCCGCACGATGAGTGTACTGCGAGTATGTTTCCCCGGTTTTACAATTAAGTTTGAATACTTTTGGCTGTATAAGTATATTTCACTTGAAAAAGTAACTGATTTATGTACTTTTTATTTTTTATTTTTATTTTTTTTAATTTGAAAGTCATTTCTCTTTTACTAACGTATAACAGACGAGGGGCGTGTGAGAACATTAGAGAGTTTATTTCGATAAAATCCTTGAGGTCCAAAACACAAAGTTCATAAATTGGTTCTACAAGGCGAATTTGATGATGGAGATTAGGTTTAATTGCAAAATATAGCCAGTATCTTGTACGCGGTGGCAATATTAGCCACCATCTTTACGAATTGGCAATATTAGCCAACATCTTTCAAAATTTTGGGGTTATTACCCATGTCCGACCAAAATCGATGGCTATTGTTGCCACAAAGATACTGACTATATTTTGCAATTTACCTGTCGAATTTGTTTGGATTTAGGTAATAATCTCGAAATTTTGCAAGTTGTTGGCTAATATTACCAATAACTTAAAGACAATGCCTCTATACATTGGTAAAGACCCATCCTCTGTTGTGGTTGCATCTTTGAAATATCATTCTCCTTTATTAACGACAACGACAACTCCAATGAAGAAGAGGAGCTTTGACTTATTCTCGGACATGCTATGATTAAATTTCTACTTTATAAAGTATCCAAAATTCAAATAGCTTGAAAAAAACCAAGCACACAACTGATGTATTTTTTTTTCTCCTTTTTATTTCGTTTTTCAAGAAAGTCATTTGTTTTCTTTCGATTGGAAATGTGTAGTAATCCGTTTGTAGGTCTGAAACTTATTCGTCTCTTGAAAATTATATAGTTCTTGCTGTTAATCTCCATGGCTAAATTGTAAAATATAGTCAGTATCTTGTACGCGTAAAATATAGTCAGTATCTTGTATGCGGTGGCAATAATAGCCATAGAGATTAACAGCAAGAACTATATAATTTTCAAGAGACGAATAATTTTCAGACCTACAAACGGACTACTACAAACTTCCAATCGAAAGAAAACAAATGACTTTCTTGAAAAATGAAATAAAAAGGAGAATAAAAAAAGACATCGGTTGTGTGCTTGGTTTTTTTCAAGCTATTTGAATTTTGGTTACTTTATAAAGTAGAAATTTACTCATAGCAAGTCCGAGAATAAGTCAGAGCTGCTCTTCATTGGAGTCGTCGTTGTCGTTAATAAAGGAGAATGATATTTCAAAGATGCAACCACAACAGAGGATGGGTCTTTACCAATGTATAGAGTCATTGTCTTTAAGTACTTTCATTTCTGGGGGAGTAATTTTAGTATGTCTACTTCTTATCTACTTAAATATTTTTGGGAGATTTTGAATGTTTCTATGACTTCACCTGAAACTCAAGTAATCCAAGAGCGATACTACTACCAACTAGGATTCTACTTTTAGAATAATGTGAATGATGTTTTCTCTAACGTTCCATGAAATATGGTGTTGATGTTCATTTTGATAGGGGCCTTGATAGTGAAACAAACGGTTTGAACTTTTTGTACTTATGAATATCCATCCGTCGCAATTTCTCTTGTAGACTTATGTATGCACAGTTTTGTGCATTCCATCAATTGTTCATTCGAGTGGAGATATAGAAAATGTCTATGGCAGAGAAGAACGCGTTGAGAATTGCGGTGGCGGGGATGAGGTGTCTAGGGGCTTGAACCATGTGCCAAAGGCGTGCATGTCTTCTTTTGATTTGATGGTTAGCTCTCCCCCGCGATGAGTGTACTGAGAGTATGTTTTTTCATATTTTAAAATTCAGTCTGAATACTTTTGACTGTATAGATATATTTTAATTGAAAAAGTAACCGATTTATGTACTTTTTATTTTTTTTATGTTTTTTAATTTGAAAGTCATTTCTCTTTTACTAACTGTCCTATCAAGAAGGGTCTTTTGTTGGCTAAGAGCATCTTTAGTGTTAAATATGTAAATATTGAGATTGTACTATAGATTAGGATTAGGCTAAGGCCCATATATGTATCTATATATATGTGTACTTCTCTTTGTGAATAATACAACATATATTTTTCCCACAATCTCACATGGTATCAGACTAGGGTTATATATATTCTCTTTTGGGTTTTCGTTTTTCCGTTCATCTCCGGCCGTCGTTGACTCTCACCGCCCCGACCATCTTCTCCGGCGTCCACCGGCGACCAACCGCCGAAAATTTCAGGCCGATCGGCGGCGCGTGGGCCCCACACGCGCCGATTCTTTGCGACAGCGCCGGCAGCTCTCGCCGGCGCGTGAGGTCCACTCCGGCGTCCGATTTCTCCCGTTTTTCAGGCGTTGACTCGTCTCGTCGTCGGCTACCTCCTGGTGTGGTCGGTTTTGGTTTTCGTGAACTTTTTATTTCCTCTATTTTTGTGCTATTTTGACGGTTTCGTGATCCGATTTCTGCCTATATTTTCATCCGTTTCGTGTTATTGTGTTGATCTGCCTTTTGGATATGGATCGTATGGATTTGCATTCTCCTATTAGTGTTGTCTTATCAGGAGACAATTATAGTCTTTGGGCACAGTCTATGAAGAGTTTTTTAATTGGGAGAAAATTGTGGCGGATTGTGACTGGTGATGTGTTGCCACCTGTACATCCGTCTGTTTCTGGGGATGCCAAC